ATAAGTGCAACACCTGATAAGATAATGTAAGATAATGGTTGCTTGCATGTGGAAAAGGTAGGACATTATTAAGTACTATGAGTTTAGTAGGAAATATTCACATATCGATGACAAACACTGATTTTTGGTCTCTGGAAAGCTATGTGATTTATATGCAATAAAAAGTGTTTTTTTCTGTACAACTCGTAATCATTGTCCTCCTCTTATCTGGGCCCAGGTTGGTTGGGCAGCAGACTCAGCAGGGACGCTCAGAATTCCTCTGACACTTTCTCCAACTTTTCCAGGTTTTGATAAACACACTAAAATATCTACAAAAATCTGTCTTCTACCCACCTTCTGATAACTATTTTTGCCGTCTGAAATTACTTAATTCTAATGTAATCATCTACCAGTGTCTGAGACATTCATTGAGCATGTCATGTGTTGGAGCCTTGTTCTATATAGGTATATATAAATGAGGAGATAGACATTTTGATGTATGGGAAAATTTTTCAAATCCCTAGAGATGGTTATTGCCTCAACATCACATAAGAAATCATATTTGTATTAATAATCATATATTTGTATTGTATTCTACTTCAATTTTATAGCAGTGGTGTCTTAGGAATAAAAACATGTTGAAAAGATTAAGAGTGTTTGGGAAGCAGACAGAGACTGTACTATGAGGCAAATCCCCTTGCATATCTTTATAAACGACCTCTTCAAAACACAAAGAGTAGAAAAAGATCATTTGAAGCTGCAGAAACGGAATGATTTGTGCTCAAAGGGGAAATGGATTTCCAAGTTAATTAAGGTTTCTGCACAAAATGATCCAGCATAAATTCAGTAAAGCCAAAATATGAACTCAACTGTCAATTTTTAGACAGACGACAGGAAGACGTCTCAGGCCAAAGATTAAAAAAGAGAAGGAAAGTAATAGAGATGGAAATTGTTTTAAAGGTAAGCAAAGGTTTGGAACCAATGCACCCATTGGACATTTCTACTGGTGAAATGTAAAAGACGTGTTTAATAAACGTCAGAGATTCCATTTAAAATAAGGGCATGAACTATTCTGCACTATTACCAGAAAGAGGAAGATACAAAAAATAAAAGGATGCAAAAAATAAAAGGAATACTCTTTAAAAACCAAGTGAGAGACTTCCAAGTCCTGATATTTTCTAAAAGCGGACCACATAGTTGTATTCATCCAGACTTTTTTCTGCCCAATTTAATTTCCTTAAGCAATAAAAGATTAAATATTGTAACATATAAAACTTTGCTCCACTGGATTTATGGTTTATGTAAATATTAACAAAGGCTGTGTCCAAATGTCTGCCCTTTCCCCTCCATCCCAATATAGAGCGGGGACTATATGGACATATTTTCACTAGTTTTCACTCCCAGTTCGTTAAATGACTCGGGCTCCTCGCTCTGTTCCTGCACCAATCCTTATTCCCTCTGGCTCCAAAAAAAAAAATCCCATGATAGTTTGCAAGCAGAGCTCTTGTAAAGCATTACTTTTTCATTCACTAGACACTCACACACCCCTATGAAATGCATAACCCCCATATAAGGGGCTATAGGGCAAAAATTCAGACACAGCCATAGTCTACTTTAAGAAACAACAGAATTTTAAGGCTGTTTCACATCCTTCATATTTGGTATACTTTAGATAGACCAGAGTTAGTTTCTCCCCTTCATCCTGACAATCTGTGCAGGTGTGAATATACACAAGCGAAACCTTTTCTAGATCAAACATAAGACTCAGATTTTTCAGGTAGTCTTGATCTGCTTCTAACCAGACTCTGCTCTGGTTTGCCTCTACAATAAATACAAACCGGCCCCAATTTGACTCAACTAAAGGAAAAATCAGCTTTTTTGGATTTGATGAGCAAATGCAACAGCTCCTGTAATAATGGTACATTTTACTAGTCATTGCACACCTGATCCTCAACTTTTTCTTAACAAAAAACTGCCAGCTTCTTGAAAGTTTGCTCCAAAGCCATTACAAAATTTGAAATAGAACGTTGTGAAACCTGCATCGCATAAGCTGACAGACTGAGTTGTGGCTGTAGTATCAGCAGAAATATGGTGAACAGAGTTTCAGCAAACAGGACTTCTATGTGGGTTTTCTCCATTATTGGCTCAGTGCCACTAAACTCATTTCTATCCAATGGATGCAATGAACATAACACAGTGGCTTTGCTTAGATAGTTATAGTTTACCTGGAAAAAGTACAATTTTAAAGAGAACAGCATCAAAAGTAAAAAAAAAAAAAAAAGTCCACTTTTGGTCCAGAGTAGTCAAGTACAGCAGCTTTTCTGTTGTGACTACACAAGGTGCAAAGACATAACAACCAATTAATTAAATAATCAATTAAGAATAGGGATTACATTAAACCTGGCTTTAGAATTGTATATAAATAAAAAATATACTTACAAAGGGATCACGGATAACTGTAAAAGCCTATTCCCTGATTTCCTGGGGATAATTGTGAGTTATACTTTATCAATCTCATTAATTTGAGCCAGCAGCATTTCCTTTAGTGGAAACCGTTGTTTGAATATCTGAGGTGTAATTAACAGATTAGAAAAGTCACAACAACAAAGACCATCTGCATCCTTATGCCCCAAGCTCACTTGCCTTTACATAATACTGAAAGGAGGTGGAACCAGCCCCCACTTTGATTTTTTTTTGTCTCCCTCTTATCTTCTCCAATCAAAATGTTTCAAGTGGACAGGCAGCTGTCATCACAACACCTTCCTGGGTATCTGTTGTTGAGACAGTTCATTATCTATGGCAGAGTGGACACACCTGCCTGACAGAAACGTCTTTGAAGCCGTGCTCCTAAAGGCAACAGTCAAAACCCACAGGTTCAGAGTTGTGTCGGCCCCTCTTAAGTCATTGTTAACTTTTCCTTTCATGTTCTGGGCAGCATATGATGTAAGGCTGTTTTAATGTTGGAGCTTTTAGAGTTGTCTGTGTGAAACACTTCATGTGGACACAGTTGTTTACTTTTGGGAACTCGCTAAATCTCATCCCATTTCAATCCGAGGAGACAGAAAAACTGTAACTAGATATGTTTTTTTTTCAATTCAATTTATTTATACAAGTAACAGAGACAGATTGTTCTACCTAAGGAAAACCAGCTGATTGCATGAAATCATTTACTCTCAGCAATCTCTGACACCGAGCATGTATGTAGCGACAGTGGAGAGGCAAACTCCCTCTTAACAGGAATTCCAAAAAGGTTAAAAACAATCCACTGGACTTTGTTTTCATAATTTAAAGAAGTTTCACTTCCAATCCAGAAAGCTTTTTAAACTCAAAATTTCAGAATTAGCGTTGAGTTCCAAGCTTTATAGAGTAGCCCAAACAAAGCCTTTTTTGGCTTTGAAAACATGCAAACCAGAAGAAAAGGTCCCCCCTTAGGGATGGGGAGACGATAAGGTCTTTTGGTAGCCTGCAACACTTGATACTTTTAACAGGAAGAAACCTGGCGTGCAGACAGAGAAGCTCTGCAGGAGCCAAATGAAGGAGATCTTGTCAGGTTTATCTTAATTGGTTTTGGAGAAGGCGAAGTTGAATGGGTGACATCGCAGGTGGTTCAGGTGAAGCTGATAAGAATCTTTCAGATGGAATTTTCACTTAAGCTTTATTTTTATTTAGAACCTAAAATTGTCTTATAATGTGTCACAAAATTAGAACATCAAGGTCAACATCTTTCCAGCCAAAGCCTTTCTCATATTACTTTTAAGTTTTCTTATTGTTATAATTGAGTCTAGGGGAAAGTGTTGTACATAACGTAAAACCTAACCCTTTTTAGTTTGGTTTATTCCATCTTGTATTTGTTTAAATTATGACATTTTCAGTTAAGAGAAGTGTTTGGGAAATGTTTCAATCTGCTACCTGTTGAATCCATGCATCTATGATTGACCTCTTAAAGAAACCTGTTAAACCTGCATTTAGTTTGATTACTAGCTGCATCTCTTATGCCTGGCTTTGCCTTTCTAATACAGGTGAAGCCAGGATCCACTGATCACATTTGCCCCATTTACACTACCGCTCTGAAACCAATCTGTGCCAAATTCAGACCGAGGTTGGATCAGTTAACTGTGCCGAGCTAGGTTCTTACGACCATTTACACATCAGGCTAATACAGTTCCTCGCCTCCTATCGGCGGTCCATAATACTAATGCTCTCAAGGCGGGAATTACGCAAACATGTCAATGAGAGCCTCGGTCTCGGCACCATCCCAGGTCGCACCATGCTCTTTTTATGCTATTTATTGTTAATAGGCTGAGAAGAAGTTAATGTTGTGAACAGGAGAATAGATCTGTGAATTGTAAAGCCAGATATGCCGGAAAACCCATGAAATGAGTCTGACTGTAAATAGGACATGGTCTGCCCATGTGCTCTTTGTTATCAGAGAACCGAGCCACAACTGAACCGTGCCGAGCCCTACGGTTGAACTAGTACTAGAAATAGTGCGGTTTGGTTGTGTCTGGCACGGTCCAGTTCAGTCACATTCCATTTACTCTGAACAGTTATCTCGGTTACCATGCTCGGACAATTCTCAGCACGGTTTCAAAAGGGTAGCGTAAATGTTGCTATTAACTTGATCTCTTAATCTGGAGTTTCTGAATTCAGCCTTTGTGAACTTTGTCTCTGGAATGTACACCGTTGCTGGTCAGTTTTTGAACCCTTTTCTCCTCTGATTAAATTAGAATAGCTTGGGTGTGTCGTTAAATAAATGGAGATTGATGGATTTCACTCAGTCGGCACATTTATTCATATCTTTGCAAAGAGAGAACAGTTCATCATACAGCCCTTATGGCACAGCATTCTGCCCTGTTCTGCATGAGCAGCATTCGTACCCCCTTACTTACAATAATGGAAAAGTAGTCTGAGTCAAAACAAATTACAGAAACTTTTATTAAACAGTAACATGTTATGAATAAACCTTGAGAAATAATCTGATTTGTTATGGGAAGAAGCTCTGTCTGGTCTACAAACACCATCCTGCAGAGCATTGTGTGGCCTTGAAAGTGAAACAGACTGAGTGAAAACTTTTATAGTGAGTAAATAGGATAAATTAATATATAATAAAAGAGAAATCTAAATTTTCCAACAACACGTGACTAGTCTTAACCTTGGACTTTGGGTCACTCAAGGAAAGATTAATAGAAGCTCTGACCTGTGCTTTTCTCTTCACCTTTCAGTTTTCTTAGCCTAGTTAATACTCTTTCAGGCAAAAAGTAAACAATTCATTGTTGGATTGTGTCTGTTTATTATTTCTGCACTATGTATACTTTTACATATTTACTTAAATATGAACCTCTTTTTAACATTTGAGAAATTTATCAAACATGTACATTTTACTTACTAACTTTAAAGGAGAAAGGCACTAAAATGTGGAATATTCATAATTATTTGAGTCCATGATAAGACTGTAAACCTAATCCAACATTTAACTCATCACATTATTTAGTCCTCACAGACATGACAGCAACTGAATAGAAGCCATTTACTGACACAACACAGTGCAATAATTTCTCTCCATCTATCAAAACATGAGAGCCTTAAGCTCTATGTCTGTCATGGATACATTTTAGACATTGCATCAGAGCGCAGAGCAGATGATTTCTCTGTATCTCCCCTAATGATGCTGTGGATCCAAGGCAAATATGAAGAAATCTTCATGTAGACACCGTAGTGGTACCGGTTGCAGGATTTGTCATAGGAAAGGATCCCTGCAGCGTATACATCCCCTGTTTGCACATCCCTGACTGCGAGAGCTCCTCCCGCATCCCCAAAACAAACATTTTCCCCATAGCCTGTGGGTCCAGTGCAGAACATATTGACATCCACCATGGGTGTGTGTGAAGTCTGTTCATATTCAGATTTACAGTCAGAGTGATTGGCCAGAGGAAGAGTGAGGTATTTGAGAGACGTTGATAGGGTCAGGTGGATCCCCCAGCCCCAGCCAGCGATTACCCCAGACCCACCCCTAATAGTGTCCAGGTCCTGGCCTCTCTCTGGGAGGGAGATTGGAGTGACCTTATCACTCATAATCACAGACTCTTTAAGTTTGATGAGAGCTAGGTCATTATCCCAGTCAGATTGGTTCTGGAAGCCAGGATGAAGATAAACCTGCAGGAGGAGAGTATAAATATCACCTTTTTAATCTCCCCTCTCATCCTTTACATAAGAAAATGTAATAAAAAGTTATTTTTTCAAAGCTATCAAATCTAACTGTGCTTTGTTACCCAAAGCAACGTCTCAATCTGAGTGTTTTTATAGGGTGAACGAGTTTCGAGCGTGTTAAAATGAGACTAATTTCCTCTTTCATAACAAACCTTGAATGCCTAAAGAAATTGAAGGGCAACATATTTCAGATGGCATTGAAAAAGATGAAATAACAGAGAAGGAAAGTGAAAAATGTTGCTCTTCCTTTCATAAATCACTGTCACCACTTCTAGATGTAATTTGTCTGGCAAACCCTGAAGCTAAAAATCAAGTCTTTTTATTCATTCTAAAATGAAATGCATCAAAAGACGAGAGGAATCTATTAAGGGCGAAAGCATTGATAAAAAAAGATTGACATGATGGTCAATGCATTTTTTTCTTGCCTTTATTCTATCTACAATCACTGTATTTAATACATTATTTATTTGTATTTAGCATTTTCGTAACCAAGATGCCCATTCCTTACCTTTTCTACAGCAGCTTCTGTGGAGGCATCAGCTTCTCTCCTCTGTGAGATTCCTAAGTATACTTTTGGGATGGAAGGATCTTTCCCCTGAATATCCTGTCGACTCTTTTTAATGAAGAGGTTTCTTCCAGCTGTCAAAACCCACCGGTCAGATATTAGAGCTCCCCCTGCATACCCACCATCCAGGACACTGTCAGAGAGGTAGATCATGGCTTGCCAGGGGACTAGAGGAGCCAAGGTTCCTCCAACCATTCGCTTCGAACGAGGGGAAGAAATATTACATGAAATCAACTTTATTAATTTCATTTCATTTTGTTTTTCAATTAAAAATGCTGAGTAAAGGCTAATTATAAAGTAAGATTTCTCAGATCATGCTTTAGCACTCTGAGCCTTTAAAAGCAGCTAATGAAGCACAGGATCAGAAGCCAAAAGGCTCTTTGTTAAAAAAGTTGCAATGGATCCATAACCAGATGCATGAAATGGAAATCTGAAAAACAACAGTTAAGGTAAAAAGGCTAACTTAAGCCAAATGTACGAAATATAACATAGTTGTACAGACAAACAATACTGGTAAAATCTAGTAAAAACTAACAAGAATGTGACACAGGAAACTTAATGAAAAGACATTTAACACTGCATATTGGCACATGCTATAAAGACATAAAATAACCAGGTTCACACACAGAATGATATAGACAATATGCAGAACATTCATAAAAAAAACAGCAACTTTGCATGATTTTAATTGTGATTAAAATCCTCCAGAGTCTAGAACACTTTAAATTCAAAGTGATTCACATTGTTTGTTGAAACTTTGAGTATAAGCTCATATATCAGGGTTTTATTGAAAACTTCTATATAATCCTTCCTGATGCAATGCCTTTTCAATGATTAATCACATGGATCTCTTAATTAATTGTAAATTTAAAACCTTCAGATACAAAGCTTTGTAACGCTTAATTGTATTTTTTTCTTACTACACAGAAATGAGGAAGCAAATGTGATCTCTATGCGTTTGATCCTCTTCTCTTTTGTGAATAATCAAGTTTGAAGTGATTGTCTCCTTATGGTTTTGGCAACATCTTGAATATTTTCTACAAATCATTAAGTGTGTCTTTGTTCCTCACTAAAGGTTATTCTTCAGATATCAAAGCAGTAGACATTGTTCAACAGTTATTAAACAATTAATCAGTAGCTTGAGGCAAAACTTGAGGATTTTAGGAGGGGGGGCTCTTTTATCATTTAATCCTCACAGAAGATAACTGTCGTTTGCACAACACAATCTTTTCAACAAGTCTACAGAGTGAGGTGAAATATTTCCTGACAGATTTTGTTTCTTTTCTAAATCAATAAATCAGAATGTTGCTGGGTTTTTTTCAGACACTAGTTTTATGAATGATATTTGAAAGGATCAGTCAAATACTGCAGGAGACATAAGTACGACTAGTGGAGCTCATCAGTTATCAAAAAGCTTAAGAGGCTTATTGCAAGGTTAATTTCAATTTCTATTCCAAGACTGTTTTACTACTTGTATGTGTGCAATCTTCATAAGGAGCTCTGAATGTGTCCATCCATCACTTTGGTTCAGACTTCTCTCTCTCAATAATTTCTGTATGGGTATGCCATCATGTTATCATGTTGCTATGTAAATAGATCACAAAACATAAAGTAATATATATCTTAGGTTACCGGTTAATTAGGATTATGGCAATGCCAGACCTTTTATCAAGTATAAAAAAAAAAGAAAATTAATTTAAATTCTCAAAATGTATCTTTAGAATTGATCATTGATCACCAGACTTTTAATAAAGCTGCAATGTGTCATTTTCAGCGACATCTTTCCCACACTGCCTCTATCCTCCAACAATACGGAGGCCTTCATGGTACAAAAAGGCTTCAGCAACATCCGATCTACCTATACTGATGGTATCTTGTCAAGTGATGGTGACAGCTGTGTTGTAAAGGTACTTGAGACAACAATGTTGTATACAAATTAGGAAATAAGAAAGTATCGTGAATTGACCACTGTTCCAGTGAAGGAGATGAGTATGGACTGAGGGCAAGAGAAATGTTTTGAAAACGGTCAGCTTTATAATCACTGGGTGGTTGCCTGTCATGGCTAGTGTTTATAGTTTAGTTAGATCATTTTAGAAGTAGTACTTTATTAGTCTGATAGAGATTTCATATAGGCCTAACTTGCCTCTGACCCATTAAAACATAATGATCTCTACAGTTTCTATTTTGTCTGCTCTGTTCTGCCGTACCGCAGAGATGTCTTTCTCCACAAATGGGAACAAACTGCTTTTTAATTACAAATAGCTTTTTCTAAGGCAAGGCAAACAAAGATTGAGAGTTTTAGTCACAGGTGACAATAAATATATAGATATAGATAATATATTATATCTATGTCATTAAATCCCTGTAATTATTACACACTACACCTTTAAGATGTTTTTTTTTTGTTTAGTCCTTTAGTAGGTATTCCAAATATGAATATTTTAAATTAAGCAGAGCATGAATAAATAAATCTCAAATAGATTCAAAGGTCACATTCCTCTTTTCATTTTGCAGGAAAAACATAATTAGATAGTTTCATTCATTCACCTTCTAACTTAAAATGGTTGAATTCAGCGACCTACATCTGTTATAATGATGCTCCTACTGCTAACATGCAGGTTTTAGTATTAAAGGTTCCATTGATAAATACATCTGGAATGTATATAAAGGTTTTTGAAGTCTGAAAACAACATATTTATTGAAAACTGTTTTTTTTATTGGAAATGGAAGGAATAAAATGCCTGCGATGGACTGGCGACCTGTCCAGGGTGAACCCCGCCTCAATCTCCATTGACAGCTGGAGATAGGCACTGGCACCCCTTGCAACCCCACTTGGGAGAAAGCGTGAAGAAAATGGATGGATGGATGGAATAAAATGCCTTAGAATTAGATGTTTTTAATTTAAAAGATTAAATAAGTTGTTTTTATTCTATTATCAGTTATTGTACGTTCCACTTTTGGACAATCATCCCTTTTGACTGAGAGGGGTACTCATGGTAAGACAAAATGCCCAAACAGGTACGCAAGTCTAAAAAGGTTGGGAAACACTGGTCTAATTGATCAAAGATTGTGTGGGATTTCAACACAATGTGTATGTATGCCCAAAGGCCAAAAATGGCTTACACAAATACATTTCAGATTGATTAAACCATGAGCACACACAAAAACAAGCACATTTCTTTGATAAATCACACTTGTGTGCACAAGTTGGCATCCAAGGCTCCACCTACTGTTCTGCCCTCTACCCGCCCACATTTCACCATAAATTGACCATGCAAAGCACTGTATGAATGCCACTGTGTTTCAATGAGCCATAGGATCAATGTTATTTGATTGTTAACATTGGCAACCAAGGGGAAAAGAGCGAAATTAAAGAAAGGGTTAAACGAATTCAGAAAAATGTGTTTTGGTGGAGAATTGTAGAAATATGTTCGGTAGCCACCCTGTTCAGCACATAGATGTAGGAGCAATACTCCAGGGAGTCTGATTTGCTGCTAAACCAACTATAATCATAGGTCAGGACATCTTGGTGATCCCGAAAAGGTATTTTCTCCTAATTCTCCTTTGTTCAACATTCTCCAGCAAAGCACCATAACACAGGTGTCACAGAGGTATAAACAGCAGTTAGCAAAAATGCCAACTTATACGACTCACCCTGGTGAACACTAGGGGGAGGACTATGGGGTTAATGAAGTGCTTAAATATTGTCTTCTGATAAAGGATATGACCTGCTCATTTCATGAGTTGTACATGTTACTGTATATAGTTTTGGTTCACCAGTGCAAGCACAAATCAGTAAGACATTTCATTCTTGATCTATAATTTATTTTTTATATCAAGGGATATTAAAGGTCTAATCTTGCTTCAGTTCTTCTCCTTACATCTCCAAGATATGTGTAACTTTATGCATTGGTTAGAGCTGGTGTGAGAGAGACCCCAAACAAGTCCAAGTTTATATATGATAAATCACATCATCTAAAGGAAAAATGACTTACAGTATGCAAGAGCGGCTGGCTAGCTGAAGTGCTAAGTCACCCATCCTGCAAACAGGAAGCCTGGGTTCTTATCCCATCTGGGGGGAATGAGTTGCCAGTGTGGATCCGTATCCCCCAAACTGCTCCCCAGGCGCTGCACAGTAGGAGCCGACTGCTCCCCAATGGGATGGGTTAAATGCAAAGAGTTTCTCTGTACTTGTGACAGTGTTATGACAAAACGCTGGGGGGGAAAAAAGACACACTCCTCCCCAGGTGCCGCACCATGGCAGCCCACTGCTCACTTTTATTGTCCACTGTAATGACAATAAAAAGTGCTGAAAAAGATTTAGTCCTCATTTACTGCATACGCAAGCTTGATAAATCAGAGCCCAGGTTTTACATATACATCATTTCTGTCTCCAGATCAAATAATATTTGATTTGCCTATTTGCTCTGTTGTTGAAACACCTGAATTTCACCACGACAGGGTAATAAAGAGTATATCTATATTATTCAAGAAGTTCACTACAGTCTGAAATGCCATTCCGTTTTATGATTAAATGTCTTTCTGCTGAAAATATCTGTGCCTTGATTCGAAACTCCAGAGGGATCATGTTCCGGCAAACTAATTTGGAACTAACCCAGACTGCAAACACATCTACTAATTAACAAAGGTCTTCTGAAATAATTTTGAGCAAGCAAATATAAACAATAAGATAAAGAGACAGTTATATTGAAAAAGTTGGAAAACCATTTGAAGCCTGAGTGTTTTCCTAAAACATTTGGATATAAGAGATAATTAAGATTAATTTTAACAGTCATAAAAATGTATAATAAGAAGAATAAACTTAGATACTTTATGAATGTCTACAAACCTTACAGATACTAAAAGTATATTAAACTGTATGTTCATGAAGCTATCATGCTTATATCTGAAAACTGACTGTAAAAGTCACTTTAACCATAACTATTGTTTACTGTCTTTGTCAAAACTGAACTGACCATTTTGCAAGATGTTGATAGTAAATGTTGGCATTACCTAAAACAGAGGCTTTGATCCTCGCCTCTGCCAGAATGGTCCACAAGGCCAGCAGGACCAAAACAAGGGAGAACCTTCAAACACAGTCAACCAAAAGGTTTGCATTCACTAGATTCATTAATGATCAGCTGAGAATACAATCTGGACATATCAAAAAATACCTAGACACAACTTTCTTAAAAATCAAGTGTTATAATTGCTAATAAAATAATTTTAAGTGAAAGATCATTGGATTGTGTTCATTGGATTCAGGAGCAACTTTATACTAAACAAGTTTACAAAAAAAAAATCCTTAATAGTTATAAATTAAATAACCTCATTTTATTTTGTCTTTGAATGATTTTATTCTAGTACTTTTTCCTGTTGTAGAAAACAGCATTCAGATTTAATCTGTGTAGCAAAGCTATAAATATTTTATCTTACCTCTTGTTGACAGCAATCATGTCTTTCCCTTTTGATGGTTTTAGTCTCTCTTCTTAAGTGTGTTTTGCATTCAAGCTGTTGGTATATTTATATCTGCTTAAAAACAAATGCTCTGATCTGGAAATTTCTGCTTGGCTCATGAAAACAGGAATCCCTGCATTTCAAAATGAGCTAATTACGAAATCTTGCAACAAATTGTTTGCTCTGTCTGTTAGTGTCCAAAAAATCTGAATCAGAAAAAAGGGAAATAGAAAGATGTTAGGTTTTACAATAAAAGCTTCTGGTTTTATATAAAGCAGCAATAGTGTTGCTTAATCTAAAAAAAAAAAAAAAAAAAAAACAGAAATAAAAACAATACAAGATTCTCACAAGGCTATAATTCTTGTTTTATTCTGTGTTTTAGTTCACCTCCTTCCACTGAATGTTAAATGGACACGTGTGCTATTTATATTCTGGTTTGGCATCCAGGCTTACTGAAAATGAAAACCAGTAACAAACTCTAATGATGTCAGAGTGACAGGTTGCCGGTCACTGTGCATTTTCGCTGTATTTATGAAACACAAAGCAAATATTAACTCATTAGACCGTTCCTGAAGAAACAGCAGCAGAATCTGTTTTGATTTCTGTGGCACTATTTAAGCATGGCAGCCGTCTGATAGACCGGTGCTGCAAAGTTGAAAGTCCAGCCGTCCTGCTCAGCATATTGATTTACAAAGGGATATGGAAGGATTTTATGATTTCAAGAGTAGTGGAGAATAATCCAGTTGAAATGGAATGCCATAATATGCAAATGTAATGAATAAAGACTGAAATGCAGCTGTAAAATATATATATATACATATATATATATACATATATATATTTTTTTTTTCTAGAGTGCAGAGCTAATAGTATGCCTATCAGCAGACCATCACCAGCGATGAGTTAAGCAGTCACATTATGTACAGAGGTCAGAAGTTTTTCTTCAGTACTGTAAAACTCAATTTAACTCACATGTAAAGAGAGGGACTAAATGCAAATAGGAGTTTTAACTGAGGGAGAAGATTTATTACATGCTCTTTTAAATAGAGGATGTTTTATTTATTTATTTTTCCCAGTTTTTAGCCTTAGCTCTTGACTGGTAATGAGAATCTTTGAAATCAGACACTCATCTCAAATTAAGTCATTTCGTTCTAGATAATCATTGCAGTCATGGTTGACCTGAGGCAGAAACACTCCCAGCCATTTTTTTTTTAGCAGGAGCTCTTCATTTGTAAATTCCCTCATGTCTCTGAAACTCTTATGTTTATGGACAAAAATGGTTAAAGTGGTTTAGCCTGAGAAGGACGTTAGGAGTATGTTGTAGTCATACATTTCTTGCATTTCCACACATACTGTAGCTGCCTGTTGACAGAAAAAAAAATCCTCCTGCCTATTCTGAATCACATAGGTTTTCCCTAACTACTTAAGAAGCCTGGAAACAACTGCAAAGGTTACTTTAATAAAAAAAAATAAGTCACTTCTCATAGGAAAATATTATAAAGGGATTTGATAGGAAATAGATTTTTTCCGACCACATCGACATAGATTTTTGTTTTTTGTAAAGTTTCCTACCATTTGGTTAGCTATGAATGAGAATTTCAAAAGTAGACTCATCTCTTATCTAAATGATGCTTTGCTTTATCTCAAGCAAAGTAAGTGGTTAAGTGTTAAGAAGATAAAAAACAATGCCTGTCTTCGCTTTCACATAATAAATGATAGAGGAAGGAAAATGTCAACGGAGCTTTGTCTTGTTTGCAGGTTAGTGAAGGACTCAAATGCAGAGACTGAATATGGCAAAAACAGAGCTTTTAATAATAAATAACAAGAGAACCTACACGGTGATCACAGGAAAAGCAGGACATAGAGAACAAACAGTTTGATAGAAGAATCTGTTAACGAGAAATTTAAAAAAAGGAGCTTAAGTACTGAAGAAAAGGCAGAAAATTAAAAACAAATGAGGGCGAGGAAATAGGAGAGACAGTAATCAACACAAAGGGAGTTGAACCAAGACTTAAAAGCCTGAAACCAACATAAGAGAACAAACCAAAATATGTAGATGAAAAAAACCCAGGAAATAATTACAATAATAATGACTGAAAAACCTAAATACAAAGAAACACAATGTTAAAATCCACAATAATAAGCAACCAATGGCACGACCTTACCTTTGCAAAACTAAAACCAGAAATGGCTGGAATGGAAGACAAATGAAACCAACACACAAATTCTTGTGGACTTTCATGTTTTCAGGATTTCAACAGAGGGAGAAAGTAAGAAAATATTGCATGCATTTATTATATATTATATATTGCATGCCCACATTTAGAGACAGAAAAGTTTGCTCAAATTTCATGGCTCAAGCTCAGACAGATTGAATGAAGATTTTTTTCTTAAATATATAAAATTTGCAAAAGTGCAGAATATTTTTCCCAGGCAGGAATATCAACAATTTTGACAAGAAATCTTCTAAATATGACTTTCTTAACTAAAAGAACAGACTGAACAGGCTGCACATCAACATGTGTCCTAGATCCATGCACTAAAGACAGTCATACATTTCTATATTTTTTATGCTAGTTTGGGGTTTTTATTATAACTATTTTGAAAAGACTCACAAGTATTATAAACCACAGCTGCCACCAGAGCTTCAGCCATAATTCATTCAGCTAAATGTTCCCTGTTTTGTATTAAATTTATCCTACTATGACTTTTAACAAGAACTTGTGCTGGGCTGTTTTTGCAGAAGGCTACCAAGATGTGCCTGCAGCCATAATAGAAAAACATATACGCTTCTGATCTTCTTTATGTTTAAAATAAGAGGCCAGCTCATATCTTCTTAAAAAAACAGAATCATATATACAGTATGACCCTTGTTCTGCATGTCCTATGGTTATTTGTCTGGCAGGTTTACAAAACCTTTGCGGATAGAGGTTACATAATATTGCTCTGGATGGGTAATGCCCATGTTGCTTTGCTCTGGCCACATAATTTCCTAAGCTTTCAAACATCCCTTCCTTTGCCTCAACACACTGCTGTTGTACTGTTATTTTTAGAAAGAGTTTCCTGGATGTTTTTTCCAGTGTTCCAGTTGCTTTTATAGACAGAAGCGCATAGATATATGGTTACCTCTGCTGCCTGGAGGTAACGACACAAAGGACGGACACTGGCAAAGGACAAATGAGCTGGACAAATGCCCCAGAGACAGGGTGGATGCATTTTTACACCCGTCAACTCTCGTTAGTTGGTGAATTTACTGTTTCTGTTTTTCATTTATATGCTTTGGACAAATAAAAAAAGTTTGCAGAAAAGAGACAAGTATTTTCCTAAACAAGCCTAAGAACAAACAGCCAAGGTTAAGAGTCAGGTATTTATAAGAAATGGTGTGCTTAAAGTAAAAGTAGGATTTAAGCCTCAAAGACACCAAACATGGCACATTTTTGAGTGGAGATGAAAATGGAGAGGTGCACATCAGAAAGTGATTCCTGGAAAGAGAACGGAGAGAAAAATGCTTGTAGCTTAAGTTGAATGTGTGTTGGTGTTTGTTGAGGAGGTGAGTGAGGAGGAGAGAAGGAAGCTGTGGCTGGAGAGAGAGGTGGAGGAGGGAGATGGCAGATGCTGAATTACAGAAGCAGAGAGCTGGAGTGTCTGGGAGGATCTGTGCTCCTCTGGAGAAAGAAGCTTCAATTCTGCCTGCAACCGGAACGCTTTTAACTGGATTTAACTTCCAAAAAGTCAACATTTAAACCTGGATTGTTTTTCCTCTGTTACACCTTTTTCTGCATAAATGATCAACAACTGAAGTCTGTGAAAATGCTGGTAAGATTGTCCAGTTGGATATATTAGTAATTTTAAATCATCATGTGATTTCTTTTTACCAAAAGGTTTAAATGCTTCTAATATGTTTTTATGAAAGCAGATCAAAATAGGATTTGTTTTCAACAACTGCATACATCATAGTCTACTGTTTGAATACTAAGTATTAAGAGTGTAACCATTGGTAGTATTAGCTTAAGGCTGAAAGGCTGGGTATTAAAAAGCCAATTTTTTTTCATTTACATTTTTGCTGATTTATTTTGACTTAGGAAACAACTCTCTTCAAAAGTAATCCTGTTTCACCTGTGAAACTGCTGGGTGGAGTTTGTATAATGCAGAATCATTGAGTCATGTAGCAGCTCTTGACACCGTGATGAAGTGCAATATTGTTTAATAAACTGGGAATCATTGATAGGAAGAAATTAGTGCATGTATATCCTTTGTGAAAACATGTCAACTAATTTCAGGGGGGTTCGTTTGTAGCTGCAAGTTAATGTTTGAATATTTATGACCTAAATCAGTTTTATAAATACTTAGTAATCATTAGGAGATGCTTGGTGGATGAAATAATAGCAGTTTTCATTGCATTAGAACAAATAGTACTGTATTTTTCTGGATTATGATACATTCCAGTATTTATTTTACAATTTCAGTTTTATTTATTTATAAACCTGTGAATGCGAACATTCTAAATAGAAACACACTTAATCTGTCAAAAAAAAATACACTCTTAAAAATTATTTGATTAAAAAACAATTCTGATCCAACTTTATTTGTAGTTTTAGTTTTGTCAGTTGTGAATAATTTTGTTATACATGTATTGATATTAATATCAAATTGTTGAGATGTGGAATAATATATCAGGTGTGTATAAAAAAACATCAAAAGACTTTCCCTGCATCAGGTGAAATCTATAACAGTTACATTTTTGCCTCATTTGTTTATTTATGTGGAAACGAGTGAATACAAAAATTCTGAGTAATAAAGTAGGTAATGAAAATAAAATTCAACATAAATATGAACTATAGTCTTGTCCCTATTAGTATTTTCAGACAGATTCCTTGTATATGTTTCTGTATACATTTCTAACTCTCAGGCTTTCAGAAGAAGCATTATTTGAGCACTAATATGAAGAAAGAAATCAACTCTGTGGATCATAGAGGCAATATAGTCTATATAAAGAGGGAGAACATTAATTATGTTTAATACGTTGTCCATAAATGGTGACAGATAGCACAACATGAAAGCTACTCTACGTAGCTTTCATGCGTAGACGTAGCTACTCTACGTCTACAGATTCCTTGTATATGTTTCTGTATACATTTCTAACCCTCAGGCTTTCAGAAGAAGCATTATTTGAGCACTAATATGAAGAAAGAAATCAACTCTGTGGATCATAGAGGCAATATAGTCTATATAAAGAGGGAGAACATTAATTATGTTTAATACGTTGTCCATAAATGGTGACAGATAGCACAACATGAAAGCTACTCTACGTATGCGTGCACTTGTCAAACAAACACAAAGGGAATCAGCACAGACAGGATGACAGGCCAAGAAAATCTAGATGGTGCCTGTGTGCCGCAGCAGAAGAAGCCTCAGGCGGTTCAGAGCAGCCTCCATCCAGCACAATTATTACTGCACGTGACCTCTGTGTGTTTGTCGGCGACCTGGCCGAAGAGTCCTGACCTGTCCCCATCGGTCCTCCTACAGATGGCCGAACCCATCAGTCAGGGATACAGCTCTGTCAAATCTAATTCACTGCATGCATGAAAAAAAAACAACATATATTCAACCAGAAAGTTCTTCAAAAAACAACAAATTCTATTTTAAGATCCAGTCCTTTCTAGTTCAAGGAAGCAAATATTGTAACACTCTACAAGTACAACATTGAAAACTAATTCATGACATCAGAAAAGAACGTTTTCAGATGAATTAGTAATAGCGTAATTACTTATTGCAGGAAATTGCAGGAAGTTGCAGGAAAAAAGTATGTATATCAGGAATGTTGCACAGCTGAACACATTCAAACCTATTTTTTCTACAAATTTCATGTTAGGAATTTCTTCACTGTTTTGAATCCCCATAAGCTGTAATAAATGTTGCATTTTTCTTGTCGGCCGATCGCAGTTAAATCACTGTCTGTCCAGTGGTTGTAAAGACTGCATGGCTTGTGTTGTGTGTTTATACCTGTGTGTTTCTTCTCCTGCTGTTAGCTCCTGGTGTTGCCACGCCTGAGGTCCGGCTGCAGGGATGACTTCCGCTTGTCATCTTCACTCAAGGTAATTCTCAAAATAAGGCTCATCGTCCGTCCTCTTATAAGTAATTATCTTTTTTTTCTTTCCTCCACTCAAACAGCCTTAAATGGGTTAGGGTAAACAAAATACTCAATGGAAAGTAAAGAAAAAAACCTAAAGATGCTGAAAATTCTAAAAAAAATAAGGCTCATCGTCTGTCCTCTTACAAGTAATTATCTTTTTTTCTCCTCCACTCAAGCAACCTTAAAGCTACAGTGTGTAATTTTCAGCGACATCTAGCGGTCAGACTGCAGACCGCAGCAACATGAACATCTCCCCCCCACCGCTTCTCCCCCCCAACAGTACGGCGAGCGTTACGGGACAAAATTTCTTCCACGACGTCCACATCACCTACCTTCTCAAGTGATGAGGTTTGTTTACATAGAAAATTTTACAGATAGTATTTCATTAGTCTGAGTAGGGTATAGATTTCATGTAGACTTAAGATAATAAATATACCCGTTATTTTTTCTACATCGTTGTGACGTTTTGGTGAGCTGCTTTGCATGGTGATATAAACAGACGAAGTAATTGTAGTCATTAGTTTAACAGCGAGATTGTGTTCGCTGGAAGAATATATATTCCCCGTTTACAGAGTCTAAGTCATTTTGGTGGCACGGGGGTTACAACGCGAGGAAGAGGGAGAGGACGAGGGCGAGGGCAGGGAGGCCGTGCAGCTAGGGCCAGGCGAGTGAGGGGTGCCAGCGGGGTGAGAGCAGAGGAGGAAAGGCTTGAAGATCTCCAAAGGAGCCGGAGAGAAGTAACCGAGGTATATATCCAGAAAATTATTTTACAGAAAATTACTGAATCATTACCTATGAAACGTCAGGGACGTTGCTGAATAAGTATACTGGAGAGTAACAGCATCATCACGCAGCATGTTATTGTTTTAGACAGGTCTGAGCATCCTGTACTCCAAAAACTGCAGTGATATTAGACAATTGTGTGTATAGGATTAATTACCTGTCCAAGAGAAAACTGGCAACTTGAGCGTCACTTTGAAAACCTTTTTCCTCCATCAGTGACTTCCATCGTGTAAATGCCGTGCCAATGTTGATCCGTGTTTTTTGCCGTTTCTTGTCACGCTTGCGTTTATTCTCGTCGTGTTTCCGCTTCTTAGATGACGGGGGTTCGGTGTCCGCCGCTTTTCGTTGTGATACAGAGTAGGCATGATCCTCCATTCGTCTGATGTTTGGCCACACAGTGCCAAACAGTTTGCAAAGTCACTCACGCCTGCCGCCTTGTTCACCTTTCTTGTTACTGAGGCGCAGTATACCTGCTTCTTCTTCTTCTTCTTTGGTTTCAGGCAGACTAAACGCTTCTCAGGCATAATACTGCCATCTACTGTTCAGTACCGTCTCAGTTCATCTCTCTCAACTTGCCGTAGTTATTTTTGAGCGTCATGGGAGATCTCGCAATCGCTAGTTTGTTGCCTCTGCGCTTGCCGTAGCGCAAAGATGTCAGCCTCCATGGCTGCGAGACCCGCTCCTATGTAATTATAAATAACGAATTCTAAGGCAACGCAAATATTATGGTTAAAAGGCTGAGCTCATAGGTGATGATAAATAACATAGTTATGTATAATATATTAAATTTCTGACTTTATATCCCTGTAATTATTACACACTGTAGCTTTAAATGTATCAGGGTAAACAAAATACTTGAAGAGAAGTAAAGAAAAAGCTGCAAGAATCCCCAAAATAGAGGAAATTAGCACCAGATGTACATTTTATACATTATATAATGTATAAAACGTGCATTTATACATTTTTTATTTATGTAAAATGATTCATAAATAATATAACCCCTTCAAAAAAAATGTGAATCAGTCAAAAACTGATTTGACGTCAAACTGCAAGGCCTCCCCCTCCCACCCACTACAAGCTTTTCATGAGTTCAGGAGGTTCTTTTTCCACTGTGTGGGTATTTAAAACCAACTCTTGTAAGACCTGGCCTTGATGGGGTTTTTTTTTTTCATTGTGACTGCTTGACAGCGTTTGCTCAGTGGTATGACTTGGAAACTCGGTTTATTAAGTACTAAATAACGCTTGATCTTTTTTGCTCTGACATAACAAGTAAAAAAACACTAAGAAATCAATTTATTTATTTTGTGAGCTGTAAATGAAAAAGTATTTTAGCACTTTCACAGAATCCTAACTTTATCAACTTCTTTATTAATTCCTTGCTATGACAAAAAAGGAAAATATAACAAAACTTATCTGTGCCTTCAAAACAAAATAACCCATAAAAGTCCTCAGAATGCATATAGTGTTAAGGTTTAAATGATCTTTCAGAATTGGCATTATAACAATAATAGAAAATAGAAAAAACCTTGCACATTTCTAACTGGGGGCAATTCTGAAATAGGCAAATGTAAGATGAATTAGATATGAGTATTTCTTCTCTTTAATTAGTCTCAGCTGTGTGCGTTCTTTACATGAGATGCATATTTACCAAAACCTCAGCATATGGATTTCTCCTTCAGGAGACCAAGCGAAGGAGTCTTTAGAAAGCTGTAGAATTTCATGCTGTCTTCTCTGAATGCCCCAGTGATGAGAAGTAAATCAATCCAACAACCTAGGGGCTATAGAAAATTAGACCAGTCAATCAGGCAATCAGTAAGTGATTTCACACAGGTCCTATATAATCCCACCCTAGGCCGCTACAAAGCTGCTTAGGTGTGATGTGTTATTTCCTGACCATTTTGGGATTTTGCAACCTGAAAATATAAAAACAAGTGTGAAAAAGCAACTAGAAAACTAAGAAGGCACCTGTTTCCACTTAACTGCTTGATCTTCAACACTGATATTAACTTAAATACTTATTAAAAATAAAATGTTTTCCTTTAAACCCCAATGCCTGATAGTACTAAAGAATGCCTGTCATGATAGATGTTAAACCTATTTGATGGTGTATGCACTGATTGCATCTTTAAGTACAAGAAACTTTAAGCCACCAAAGTCATAGTATTCCCTTAAAAAATGCATTACTCCTTTAGAAAAAAAAAATAACACTTGGCTAATTGAAACACAGATTAATGAATAGTTAAATACAATGAAAATGTAACCAAAGTGTGAATGCAATTCATGTTATGGCAACACAACATCATTTAAAAGCATGTCAAACATTTCAGTTAAATGTCTAAAAAGGCCCAAAACTCTAGAAAATGTGAATTAAACTGGAAATAATCTTAAATGTTATGATTCCTTAGATTTAATAGGACTATTTAAACAAACTCATAGTCACGAACATGAATTGAATCAGGCACTTAGTCTAATTATATAAAATAAATTACTTTATTAAATTAATACTCATTTTGGCAAGTCTTAAAAATATAAAACAGAAAAAAATCCATTGATGGAAGCTGCAGCAATCTGTCGCTGTGCAGCTGGCTGCTGGACTATATGCTTTTGTAGACTTTGAGGAAGGTTTTGGTTGTAGGTTGCCTCAGTTTCCTTTGGAAAACTACTGGGCTCTCCTGACCAACTGGTTTGTCACACTATTATTCACATGTCCCGGAAACTTCGGGTTATCCAAATCTTTCACCATATTCCCAGAAATCTGGAGGAGGTATGTGATCCTCTTTTGGAGGGTGATAACAATGCCTACAAGTGCATCCCTTCTGAATGCGACGATACAATCAGGACATCTCATCTTCTAAAATCAGACCCACAACTGTAGTATAATTTGCATATTTTACTTTACTGTTTATAATGAAGGGAAGATGGAATTGTCGTCATGTTAGAATAGTGGGAAAAGCATTGAACTCTAATCTCTGAGGAGTAGTTTGGGTACCGGTTTGTAAAGGATGAGAGTGTGAAATACAGTGCTGATGTTCACAAATAACATCCAGACAAATGTATGAGGTGTCTCCTTGAGTCTCAGAGGAGGACTGGAAGGCTTTTGGGATAAGATAATCTGTGCAATGGTTCCCCTAATTGAACTATTTTAAAAAACTGCATTAGTTTTACACGCTTTAGGCTTCATTTCAGATATCTCAGATAATTTTTTCGTGTCAATATACAGCATCTATGCATCAATGCTTTGTGCAGCCTGCTCATCTGAAAAACTCAGCTGTGTAACTTGAAAGGGTCCAATCTGTCACTAAATCAGTCATGTGACCCAGAGCAACTCTTTACGGCAGTCTGAGCTTCCTTTAAACACGAAAACTAACTAAACTAAAAGTTATAGGTAGGCAGCAAAACAGATATGACACATTTCTGGTCAGATATATCTTTGATTCTCTGAAGTAATATTTAATCTAGCCTCTCAAACCCCACCATTTTAAAGCATTTACAACTAACAACACATAATGCATGAAAATTACACTGTGTAACAATATAGATACACTATATTGCCAAAAGTATTTGCTCACCTGCCTTGACTCACATATGAGCTTAAGTGACATCCCGTTCCTAATCCATAGGGTTCAATATGACGTCGGTCCACCCTTTGCAGCTAGAACAGCTTCAACTCTTCTGGGAAGGCTGTCCACAAGGTTTAGGAGTGTGTTTATGGGAATTTTTGACCATTCTTCCAGAAGCGCATTTGTGAGGTCGCACACTGATGTTGGACGAGAAGGCCTGGCTCTCAGTCTCCGCTCTAATTCATCCCAAAGGTGTTCTATCGGGTTGAGGTCAGGACTCTGTGCAGGCCAGTCAAGTTCATCCACACCAGACTCTGTCATCCATGTCTTTATGGACCTTGCTTTGTGCACTGGTGCACAGTCATGTTGGAAGAGGAAGGGGCCAGCTCCAAACTGTTCCCACAAAGTTGGGAGCATGGAATTGTCCAAAATGTCTTGGTATGCTGAAGCATTCAGAGTTCCTTTCACTGGAACTAAGGGGCCAAGCCCAGCTCCTGAAAAACAACCCCACACCATAATCCCCCCTCCACCAAACTTTACACTTGGCACAATGCAGTCAGACAAGTACCGTTCTCCTGGCAACCGCCAAACCCAGACCCGTCCATCAGATTGCCAGATG